AACCTACAAAATACCTGACAAGCTATGTGAAACATATGTGTATCACTTCACTTGTGCTTTGATTATAGAAGACAAAGTTAAAAGTATACCAATAGGACACATGGGAAAAAATCTATAAGAAGTCATTCAAATAACGTGCAGGGCTTACATTGAAGGGAAAAAAAAACCTTGAATTATAATTCTTTATTTCATGTACAGTGAAGTCAGCAATTTAATCCAATTCTTAATAATTTGCTTGTGTGATTGATAGTTTTTACATTACTTTAATGATTCATTTATATGTAAATAGAGAATCATATTAAAGTGATTTTATAGGAAAGGACTGCCAGGATCTCCGGAGAGCTGAATGAATGACTTTTGAAGACACTTTAAATTCTTTTTAACTCAATGATTCTATTCCCCACCCCCCTCATGTATTGTCAGCCTAAGAACAGGGAAAGCCTCCAGTTTAAAAAGATGATACAATGATCCACTAAAATGAACTTTTCTTGCTCAACCATGTCAGAATAACTGAACAATATCAATAAAAATATCTTTGCCTACAGAATGTCAGTGAGAAATCAAAACATCTCAGTACGTGGATATCTCAAGGCTTGTCTCTTTATATATGTTCTTGTCTGTGTTTTTCAAAGATCTTCAATCATCATCTGGAGCATAACTTTAGATCTCCTGGCCTTGGGAAACTAGGTGTCTACTCACTGTGTAATTGTTATTAGTTCAGGATTTTAAGATTCCTTTGAATATGTTTGTGTTCTTGGGTTATTTCATTTTTCTGGGGAAGAATAGGAAATTGGAAAAGGAGAAATACTGCATCTTCTTTCTCCTCACCTTATTGTTGATTCTACACAGGGAGTTGGAGCTGCTGTGTATTTTATATATTTTATATAGCATTGTATTGTATATTTCTGTATATTTTTGGTGGATGAAAAATTAAAACATACAGATGTTTCCTAGATTTTATATTTGATGCACTCGTCAAATGTAAAACCTAGGAAACATCTGCATTTTTCTGAACATCTAAATTGGGTTTATGTTATTCTTTTATTATTATTATAAAAAATATCTCGCATGTAATGTTCTAAAAAGCAGAAGTTAAAATGCATATAGTTTATTTTGATGGGGGGATTTTCTACCCAGCATTTCTATATTACAGCACAAAATGACACCTCAGTAGCTGGGAGAGTGTTAGGTAATAGTGGTTTATTGGACTACTGAGTATAAATTCTAATAATATACCTCTCCAAACTACAACATATTGCTTCTGATTGTTTCCTGTACTAAATGAAATATATAACAAGCTTCAGATTTAATGGCCTTTCAAAATTAGGAAGTAGCAAGTGTCCTTATTATCCATTGCAATGGATATACAACTATAAATCAAAGAAATGATTGCTACCAAGCTTTTGGTGATTTCCAAAGTTAAAGCAAACCTAACCTGCAGCTATTTCTGCACAGAACAGCTGGACAAAATTATTATATTTCCTGAGTTGACCATTTTTATGTAAGGCTGTAGCTATTATTTTGTTGCTTATTGACAGGAAATGGGGGATTTATAAAGTCTGGCTCAATGCAAATATTTAGAGATTTGTTTTGCCTCCCCCAAACTCCGTTCGAAACCCTTCCTTCTGAACTTCTGAACAGTGAAATCAAACTTTTGATAAGGTTGTTTTCATTTGAAAACTGGAATTCATGGCTTTCTTCCAAAGGGGAACTCTGTTGGTCACAGACAATTTATGAAGAATAGCTTGCTTGTTAGTGAAGCAAATATATGTAATCTGATGAAATTATTAATGTCATAATGTTAACTCTTGTCACATAAATACAGTTAGGAGAGCTGACACAGCAACTGCATCCAAATGTTTGGGTCTTTTGTTTATACACTCAATCTGTCAGTACAATATGTAGGGTATGAATTTCAGCAAGCACTTTGACAATGAACAAAAGAGATACACACTTTTTTTTTAAATTAAAACTTGATGAAAGGTGAAATGATTTCAAGCACTTGGATAGACTCTGCAGACATAACTTCCTTCCTTCCTTCCTTCCTTCCTTCCTTCCTTCCTTCCTTCCTTCCTTCCTTGAACCTTTATTATCAAATAAATGATAAATTTTGTGAAATTATTCTGCTCAAACTGTATATTAATGAGTAGGATGCCAATCACACAAAAATATAAAAACATTTCATGAGTCTTGCATTCATGGTAAACTGTAAAAGCACATTTGTTTTCTTCCTGCCTTCATAAGATATTTATTTACTGCTTTATGAGACCAAATCAACATTAAAACATATACAAGTTAAAATTCATGCATAGAATTTTAGATAAAACCAAGACAATTAAAACTGTGAGGAAAGTACCAGTTGTTTGTATAAGTTAAAGCACAGATATATAGAAAGATCCAAACCTTTGGTCAGAGACAGTAAGACCCCTGACTTCATTGTGCTTGCCATCCTTTATCTTTCTTTTTTTTTTAAAAAAATGTTATTGATTTTATTGAGTTTTTTCTATTGTTGACTCACTCAGAGTCACCGAGAATCAGAAAAGCAGATAACAACAAGATCTGACAATGGATAAGAGCAACAACATTAAAGAGACAACTGAGTTAATTCTGGCTTCACAAGACCAAGCCTTAGGAACAAAAGCATACAAACGAGAAGACAACAACAAACAGCAAATGCTTCTTCTCCATAGAAGCTGAAGAAATAAAACATCTGGTTAGCTGCTGCAAGAAGATCTCACAGACTGATTAGAAACAATGACATGACAAAATATTAACGATGGTGAATAGGAAGATCTGTAAGAAATATAATTTGCCTGCAAGCAAGAACTGGGGGGAACCACAAAATACTTCCAGGCACATCTGGAATGTTAAGAGTATGGTTTCAACAGACTCAGAAAATGGTTGCCATCCTGGTTATGGCCAATCACACCAAACTAATTTACCAGAAAGGAAATGTGTGCATTTTTTTCTACCTGTCTACCCCAAAAGTTAGACCAGACTAACAAACCAAAGCCATAAAGGTCAAGACTACTTTTATTATAACTGCAATACTGACAGCATCTTTCAGGGCTAAAAGTGCTTCCTCCTCCCTCACATTATCTTCATGTGAATTGCTGGAGGCTGGGGTGGGTTCTGAAAAGTCATTCTCAAATTGTTTTCTTGGCCAATGCTCAAACCCCTCTTATTTGCTTTGGTAGCAACCTTTCCTCCTGTCCTTGAAGGTGAGTCCTTATATTCTTTACACTATCATTTCTCTCAAGACTTCCATGATACCTACAGTTGACTCAATCTATAATAGGTTGAAGATATCTATCTTTTTTTTTTTTTTTAAGAATACCTCTAGGCTCTGTGGATCCTATTTGCACTGCTGGTTATACAGTACAAATTAGACTCCAAAGCCTATTTCTAAAACAGAAATAAGGCCAAGAGCTTGATAAATCTTGAAGAAGAAGAGCATGCTTATGGAGCATGTATAGAATAATTTTGCTCCACTGTGGGATGATTAATTGTTACAAAGTTGGGAGCATTTTTCTAGGTCAGTGTTTTTTCCAGGAAAGGGCCTAAATCCCTTCTCTTGAAAATCTTGCCAAGATTCCATGTGTGTTCTCTAGGGGTAGGGTTAACATATTTTAAATTGAAATAAACCAAATCTCAAAACAAAAATGATAGGCTGTTGTCTTAAATCCTGTCCATGCATAATGAGGAGACTCAAAGGCGTGCCATCAAAATTCTGGAAAACTGGTTCCTCTTGCATACCACATGACATCAGTTTCCCTGAAGGCATCTGCATTTTCTCAGTTAATATCTGCAGGAGATAAGCTGCAACAACCTGGCAAACCACATGCCACAGGATGCATATAAGCTATTTTCCCACAGGCGTTTCCAGTGAGCTTGTGACTGCATCAGAAGGCAGGACTTACCGGTAATTGTTAATGAAATATTAAGTAGTGCTTGAAATGGGTTATTTCTTTATAGCCATTTTAAATATTACTTTTTGTTAAGGCATCCAAATGAGATAAATACATATAAAAGAGGACTTCATAAACTACATTTCTATTTCTCTTTGAGTCCAATAATACAAGCCATTCTAGTACAACACACTTAAGGGTGTTATTGTGGGATGTAGAATTGAGCAACTCTATGCTAAAGGTTCGTCTGAGTTCCTTATGGGCATGTTATTTCCAAAGACCAAAATAAAATTATTTCTCTGTTAACTTTATACAATGCTCTGAATGTTTTCTGTTTTTAAAATTGAGCTAGTTATATGGGAATCTAATAGCAAACCAGATTTCAGAATTACTGGTGCAGTTTTCAAACTAATTTTAATAAATTGTGCTCCTTTTGGCCTTGGGTCCACGTGTGAGCTGTTAGCTTTGCACCTGAGCAATGATGTCCTGTCAGAAGGTCAACAGACATGTGGGTGCTAAATTTTCAGATGCTGTGATTTTGACAGGGCTGGCAACAGCTGCAGTCACAAAGTATACTGTGAATCTGAAAAAACATGAAGTGTTTCCATGTTACTAAGCCATGTAAAAACCTGATTCTGACAAATGCCATATCTGAATTTACATCACTTTCCCATGAATCCAGACATTTGCTGGAAATATTTTCACAATGCTCATATTGTAATACAGAGGTGGGTTTCAGCAGGTTCTGACCAGTTCTGGAGAACTGGTAGCAGAAATTTTGAGTAGTTCAGAGAACCAGTAAATACCACCTCTGACCCTGCCCCCATCTATTCTCTGCCTCCCAAGTCCCAGCTGATCAGGAGGGAATGGGGATTTTGCAGTAACCTTCCCCTGGAGTGGGGAGGGAATGGAGATTTTACAGTATCCTTCCCCTGGAGCAGGGAGGGAATGGAGATTTTACATCCTTCCCCTGCCATTCCCACCAAGCCACACCCACCAAGCCACACCCACAGAACCAGTAGTATAAAATTTTGAAACCCACCACTGTTGCAATAGATGTATATTTGGGTCATCCCATCTGTTGCTTTTGTGTCTGGCGAAAGGGCTGTTTCACTTCATTGTTGATAAATTGATAAACTTTATCAAATATACACGCCTGGTGACAGGACATTCCTTAGCACTAATTGGAGTGATTGAGAAAAGATATATAAATTCATATTACCAGCTAGTATTTATCACACAACTATCCTGAAACATCCTGGAGTCAGAAAGTTGAAGTGATGTAGACTAAATGCTTACCATGAAGATTTAACAATATTCAAAATGACATAGGGACTCCAAGCTCAAGACAGAAGTATCTGACAAATTATTATAATTAAGTGTTAATTTACCTGTGGATGCTTGAAAGCATTACTTATCCATTTTTCTTATAAATCCTACTTACTTTTTTATCTGTTTGGGGGAAATGTCAACATTTTTATCTAGACATTCTGAATTTATGCCAATGCTTTTCATAGACATTTATAAAAACTGCATTAACTTGTTTCTAATGCTGTGAGATGCAATGATAGATAATTCCACTCTAAGCAATTACTTTCTGAAGTTGTGAGTTTTGCATATACAGAGACACTACTTTAGGTTCATTTCTTTTTTCATTCTCCATTTTTCTAAAAATATACTTACTTAATCTATACAAAATTCAATCACAAAATATTCAAATATTCATTGTTGTGAGGCTATCTACTTAGCCTCATTTAAATATGACATACATACATTTACCTGACTGAACAAAATGTCACTATCAGCTCCACGTTTAATGTAACCCAACTGAACCGTTTACATTAAATAATTTTATTTTCCTTGGAGCTAAATTCTGTTGGCTGAATCCAAAATGGTATGTTAAAAAAAGTAATGCAGGCAGTCTCTTTGCAAAATTATTATTTGCTTATTTTTATTTGGCCCTTTTGTGCTGTTAGGGTTATGGGATCCATTCTCATTAAAACACAATCCAGTAAATACTTAAACTAAAGAAAATTATCTTAGCCACAAAGAAGTTCTGTTGAAATCGTACAACATCTGGCTTGAATTAAGATTTCAAGGTGAAGACTCCACAACTTCATCTACAGGATGAAAAAATGTGTTTGATTGCTTACACATTATTTTGAGGTCGATAGGACGACTTAAGTGATAAGTTTGTTATGGGCACTATTTGTGTTCCCTCAGACAAATGTATGAGCAATCAATTGTAGCTTTAGACTTAACAAAACAAAACAGAAACCCTACTTTCCTCACTCTCCACGATGAAACCAAGATTCATCACACTCACTTTTTGAATGGGAATTGCAAAACTCCTTTGTTGTTTTTAAAATTAGCTTTGAACTGTTGCATTCCGATCATGATAGATGGACTATTTACATCCTATCCATATGTATAATCTTTCTTTTCAGCTGTAGCCTCAAATATTCTCATTTGTTGTGTGGAAAAATACACGTCCTGTGTTTAAAGTTGGTTTTGTTTTATTTTTCAAGAGATGACTCCAAAAACTTCCCTTTTCAAAAGGTGGCTGCTAGGTGAATTCATATCCGTGAAGGGATTCAGAACTCAGAACAATTGTCATCTCTTTTCTCAGTGACAGAAACTGTAATTAATGGTTTCTCCTGTTGTGGCTAAGGAGAAAGGAAAAGGATGGAGTTGACAGGCATTTTATTAATAGCTTCAATCACCTTCCTATACATAAAAAGGCTTTCTTACTGGCTCTAATACTTCATTGAAAGGTTTTTTTAAAAGAGAGGAAATGTTGAGGATGGATAAAAAATGAAGGCAATCTATCCAAGACTGCTGAATGTTGGCTCTTCAATAATAAAATTAAAACTATTGTGACAGTTCCTATTGTGTCATTTAACCATCTGCCTCCTACTGGCACAATCAATAATGACATCTGTGGGCATGTTGTCACCCTCACCTAGTTCTTCTGTATGTGACAACAAAACCTGTCAATATTGTGTCTCATGGCTGCTTTACCAAGAAGATTTATCATTCAACTAGGTGTGGTATAGATTTGAGTGACTGCTTCTCTATTGTTATAGTGGGAACCTACAGGGGGATAGATATTCAACACGAGGCACAAGAAATTAGACATGCATCAACCAGAAGTGACAATGAGTTGCCCCACTAATCCACGGGGTGCAGAGGAGTGGAAATTTACTTGGAGGACTTGGCTATGCTTGGGAAATTAAAGTGACAGAAAGGGAATGCAAAATTCAACAGGTCATTGCTCCATAAACCATTGCACAAATGCCAGCAAATAATCTAATCCTAACAATGGTATGTGTAGCTCCATATCCGCTAATAAAGAAAGAATGGAAAAGTATTTCTGAATGAACTGAGCTTATGACAGAATAGGAAGTGATGACCACATCATTGGTAGGGGCACAGTCATTAGAATATTCATGTCTGCTCAGACACCATACGGGGGGAAAATGTCATCCCTTGGAGAATGGCAAAAAAGCATTTATATGCCTATTAAAGTGATGACTGTGTTTCCATAGCCTGTTGGAAGAGGACGGGAAACTCTAATAGCAGGTGTCATAGCTCTCTCCCATCTCGCAGACAATGAGAAAACCTTGCTGCACCATCTCAGAACAAAAGTATTTGTATATTTTAGTGTGCCTGTTCAATCTGAGCTCATGTGGAAGGAACGGAACTCATGAGCAAAGTTAGAGGAGTGCCGGGGTTAGCAGTGAACCACTGCAAGATGGAATCAAACTTCCATAATGCTACTTCCTGCAGGTCGACCTCTCTTTTTCTTAGGATCCTGATGAACTCTGTTCAGAAGTCTCAGAAGAAATACTTCACCTGGCAACTCTTAACTAGGAAGTTACGCGTGGCCAAACCATTGCAACTAAATGCTATTAACAGAATGCAGACGAATATAAATATTGATTAAAAAGAATCAGTTTTCATATTAAGCTGGGAATTCCTCAAAACTTGGCATGAAAGGGGATATCTAGTGTTTGCATGGATAAAATGCCCCATCTTTCCCCATGTTCACATCACATTTTTATGATATCGAAACATATCATCTAGCATTTCCCATAATCCTGCCTTCTATGGAGAAAAACATTTACTCTTGAATGTTTTACATCGCCACTGGTAGGGTTCAATGTTTTTTTTTTTTTTTATGAAAGTGTTTTACCACATGGATTCACAATATTGTAATCAGGGGAAAAAATAGTCGGGGTCCATTACAACTCACATAATCCTCTTTTTAAAAACAAACAAGATATTCAACAGCAAAGGTCTCCATGTTTTATTGGGAGCACTGCTAAGATTTCCTATCCAACGAGGCACCTTTGCTACTGAGCCCTGTTGTGTCACAACTGGAAATCCTGACAGATTTATGTCCTTTAGTTCATTAACCAAACACCCCCTTAACCCCCTCCTGTTTAGGAGTTCTAAGATGGATTTATTTATTTATTTTATTTTACCACATCCTGAAGCCACTAACTTCGAAGCCAGCTGGAAGTATGCTGTTTCCACATTGATCTTCCAGCAGCCATTCATTTTCCCTAGATTTTTTTTTCCCAGTGTAAGCTTCCTTGTTGGGAATATGCTAATGACATCTGCCATGATTAGTGATTTTCTTTGAATCGCTATTCCTCTGTGGGCAAAGCAATCAGAAAGGGAGAAGAGGAGATTTACTTCTTCCTTGTATGCCTTCCTTCAGCCATCTGGTCTAGCTTAATTCATTTGAATAAGATTTGCAGTTTGAGGTTCTTTACTGTGGCATTCAGAGGCATTTTAAAGCTTAAAAAGGAGTTAATGGTGATCTGTCTGTGTCAGCGGCATGGTCCTGTGATGGCTCGCCTTCTGATGGCTAAGAAGGCCAGATTAATTTTATTAAAATGAAGGAAAGAGGTGAGGGGAAATAAATTTCAATGCTCTTTAACAGCTTCATTATTTTAGATGTCTTTTGTGAGGGCAGTTATTATCTGAACATAAATGCCAGAAGATAGGAGACTGCATTTTAAAAAACAACAGTATTTATTTTTTAAAAAAACCGACATCGTTAATCTAAAATTACCTGGATGGAGAAGGGAACAAAAAAACGATGATGGAAGAATTATACTGTTGAAATAAGGTCAAGAAACAGTTCCTCACTTGTGAAATATAGAAAGAGAAAAAGAGTAAGCAGAAGGAAGAAAGAAAGAGGAAAGATAATGGAAGCTTGGAGGAAAAGATAAGAAAAAAACATATTATTGTTATAATAGGTGGTACCCGCCTTTATCTTAATTCCAATTAATTTTTCTCTCATTTAAAAATCTGCCTCTCACAGGGAGATCCCGATCAAATTTGAAATATTGAATAGTTATACACAAAATACCTTGAGTCTTGGCAACATCAAGCACACTGAAGTCAAGAAGGTTAGTACTGAATGCATCGTGAGAGTGAAGAAGAATCTGAAATTCAAAATTTGTAGAGGAAATATATCAAATTAATTAACACCTGGGCAGTTCCAATCATTAGATACACAGCTGGAATATTGGACTAGATTCAGACAGAACTAAAAGCTCTGGATAGGAAGATCAGAAAAACGATGACAGATTATGCCCTTCATCCATGCAATAATGTTGACAGACACTACTTACCAAGGGAAATAGGTGGGTGAGGAATGTCGCAAATACACCAGACAATTGAAGAAGAAAAAGGGTCAGGGGAAGAATATCTGAACGACAGTGAAGAAGATGCACTGAAGCTAATATACTAGAAAGGTTTACTGTACACTGGAGGCACCAAGCTGGCCTACAATGAAGTCCAAAGAAAGAATAAAAACATGGCAAGGCAAAGTATTACATGGCCAGTACAACAACAACAAGAACAACAATAATAACAAGCAGCAAAGCTGATAACAAGACCTTCCAATGGATAACAGCAGAAAAATTAAAGAAAGAGACAGATGGACTAATTCTGGCTTCACAAGACCAAAGCTTAAGAACAAATGCACATAAAGCCAGAATTGAGAAGACAGCAACATTCAGCAAATGCCATCTCTGCAAAGAAGCTGGAGAAACAGTGATAAGCTGTGAAACATTTCAAACCAAAAAGAAAAGAAGTCCAGTTGCCATGACTCAATTTCCAGTGGACCACCTACTTAGCTGCTGTAGGAAGATGGCATGACAAAATAGCAACTATGGTGGATTTCAATATCTGCGAGGAATAGCATTTGCCTGCGAGCAAGAACCAGTGAGACCCACAAAATAGATAAAGTAACAAAAAAATTAGAAAGCTAATTTTTTAGCTTTAGAATTCAAATAGACAAGAATCTCTCACTCAAAACCCCAGACTTAACAATTGTTGATAAGGAAAGACAAAAACGTCTGAATAGAAAACATTATAATACCCCAAAGACAGCAGAAGAGAAGAGAAAGACTCAAGAAAATCACAAAACATACAGGTTTGCAATTAGATGTAAAACGGCAGAAAAAAGCAAATATAGTGCCAATAGTGAGAGGCACTTTGGGTGTAATTCCAAAATATCTGGAATTGACATCTGTCAATACTATCAGCATTAACAAAATCACCATCAGTCAATTACAAAGCCAGTTTGACTTAGAACAGCTTACATCCTGCAATGATATCTTTAATATTATTAAACAACAATACCTGCTCATCCATGGTCCTTAGGAAAGACTTGAGAGGTGGACAAAATGCCAAATCCTGTCCAAACATCTGGTTGACAGTGCAACCCCCAATAATTAATTAATATTCAATGCTCTCAACAACCCTGAACACTTGAGTGAAAAATTCTGAACAGAAAATAACAAACACTGATACCAGATTTTACTTACTTGAAATGAACATTTGCTGTGCTTCTCATTAAACCATTATGAATTGGTTGATTAATAGTGGTCGATTCACTGAAATTAAAAACACAGCTTTTCAGCTTTCTGTTCAAAGACACTAATACTTGAAATACTTACATTTAATGTTCGTTACTTAGCATCAAGTTTTACTTGCCAAGAACCTGAACTATAACAGTATTCAGCATACAAATTGTAAGTGGAAATTTATTTAAAATGTGGGCTACAGTCTATTTTGTCTGAGCTGCAGACATCTATAGTTTCTCTCTAAAGCAGGCAGAAGTCGGATGTCAAATCAGTTATGTTTCATACTTCCTGTAATGACTTTAGACTGAGCGTGGAACTTTTTTTCTACTTCCTTATGTTTCATATGGGCTGTTGGCTTTATTTTCTTTCTCCCGTGTGTCTTTAATATTTTAATATATTGCACAGTTTGCTTAACAACAACCATAGCAAAATAAAATAAAAATAAATAAATAAATAAATAAAAATGCTTTGCAAAAATACTTTGTGATTTAAAGGAAAATTCCAACCTTCTATGTTGAAGTCTCCTATGAAGAAGACACGCCTCGCCTAGGCAATAAGTGTTGGGTAAATATGTTGAAATTCAAAAGATTGGATACTCTGGTTGCTGACCTTGAAAAAGTGTCATGGGTCTGCCAAATGCTAATAATTGGGTAAAATTAGATATATTATATTGAAACTATTGAATGTTTTTCAACTTGTAGACCAAAGAAACAAAATTCTCTGTGTGAAGTTGATTAACCCCCTATCCTCACCCCTCAAGCTGCATTACAGATTGGATTCAATTGGCTTTTACATGCATGGGATTTACTGCTATCCACAATGGAAGTAAAGAAAAGGTAGAATCTTCCATCAATCCAGCAGCCACCTCCAGTGGTCCCAAGGCCAATTGGCAGAGCCAAATCTTCATGCTCTTGCAGAAGAATAGGAGGGTCGGGGGGGGCAGATCTTATCTTAAAGCAGGGGTGAGGAGCTATGGACCTTTTATAGTTTGTGGACTTCAACTCCCAGAATTCCTGAGCCAGCCACATTCACAATTCACAAAAGCAGATTGCCTTTTAATAAAGCCATGTTGAAGTCGACAAGGCATAAAGGGACCATAGTTCCCCATTTCCACCTTTAGAACCCTTTAAAGGGTGAGCACTGTGGCAGAGAAGGCTCTTCTTCCAGATCCCAATAGTCAGAGTTCAGTTGACTGACAGATCCATAGTAAGCCCTCTTTGCCAGCACAATAGGACTGGCTTGTTAAAATACACTACTATATTCTGTAAATAGTTTATAGAAATGAAGGTTTTGGGGTTTTTTTTCCCTCCTCCAGAATAAATGATGCACATTCAATGTTCTTTCATATGATGCATGCTTAACATTTCTTCCACTCTGGCTTCACAAGGGAAACACTAACCCATTTTTGTGTATCTCATTTCCTTTGCGATTCCTAATTACTTGGTTCTAAGCAACTATTTTTTTTCCCTGCCTGGCTCTTTTCTTTCTTCCTACTTCCACTTCTCAGAATCAGATGTCATAGTTCAAGCTGTTTTACAACCTTCAGCATAGCAACCTTCCCTTTTTCAACCCCCAGACCTGCTGATAGGCAGACAGTTGAATCTTGCTGCAAGTGATAACCAGGCTGTTTCCAGTCTTTATGTCCAGTCAGAGGATTACTAATTACTTAATTTACCATGTACAGCCTATACAAAGATATAACATTTACATGCCAATAAAATTGTGAAATTTCATCCACAAAGTATTCATTCGGCAAAACTCAATTGGATCTAGATTTTAAAATATGGGAATAGTCTCCTTAATGCAATTTTAGAGCCATTACTTTGACTATGTCTACTCTTGGTAGGAGTAGACATTAGTGAACTCTACTATGCCTAACTCTACTATGCCTACTATGCCGGTATAAATATAATTGTTATTTCAGATGGTCTAGTCATATGCAATGAAGTATTTTTATTGCAACCTTAATTTATTATTATTATTATTATTATTATTATTATTATTATTATTGTTGTTGTTGTTGTTGTTGTTGTTGTTGTTGTTGTTGTTGTTGTTATTATTTTATTTATATGCCGCCCTTCTCTGGAGACTCAGGGCGGCTTACAATGCGTTAAGCAATAGCCTTCATACTTTTGTATATTTATACAAAGTCAGCTTATTGCCCCCACAAACTGGGTCCTCATTTCACCTACCTTAGAAAGGATGGAAGGCTGAGTCAACCTTGAGCCTGGTGAGATTCGAACTTGCAGTAATTGCAGGCAGCTGGTGCACTGTAACAGTGCTTAATCAGCTACGCCATATATAAATATTAAATCTTATGCATAACTTTTTTTTTTTTTGCCAGGAAAAGATGGTCTGCCTGAATTAAATATTCTTCCAGCTATTTCCTTCTGGATATATTGGAATATAATTCCCATGACCCTTTGCTGGAAGGAATAGAGAGAATTTCACATCTCCACACATCTGGAGGGGATGAGCTGAACCGGCCTCTTTCTGCTTATAAACAACTCTGCAAGGAAAGCTAAGTTAGCAGGGTGAACACAAAGGACAGAACTTCACAGCAGAGGTCCATCGTTGTCCATCGTTCTACAATAAAACTAGGTCTACACTTAGCCATCTTGCACAAGGCAAGTTCACATCACATGGTTAGACCTCAATGAGTTAAGAGTCACAGGCAACAGTAAAATGAGCAAAAAGCTTCAATTTACCTGCATTTGGGTTTTAAAATGCTTTCACTACAACTGTTGTCAAAGGATAATAAATAGCCAACTTGCCTTTTATGGCTCAAAACTCAGGAGCGACTCAAAGAGTTGCTGGTATTATTCAGCAGTAAAGAGAAACAAACTTGCAAGGGGCATTTACACAGTACTAAATCCTTGTAAAATTAGATTAAAACAAGCCTGCTATGTGACCCAACCTTTAGGCCTACTTAAACACCTGTGGATTTATGGAGTTCAGAGGTCTGCAAGGTCTCTGTTAACGTTCATTTTCAAAACTAGACCTCAAGTGACATCCTTTGCTGGGGTAGTTAATTTCAATTTGCTTCTAGCTTGAAAGGTGATCATATTAAGATATATGAGCAACACTTATCTTTATGCCAAAACTGCAACCTGAACAGGAGATAAATTCTGAATGCTACAGAGTTTGTTTCCAGAGGGCTTGCTAAACAATATATTTCATTGAGTTTAATTTTGCAGTTCTTTCTGCACACAGCAGCTTACAATGTCAACAAATTTTCAAGCCAAACGTCTGCCTGACTTTTAATGAACATGATTTCTTTTCTCAAAAAAGCATAAGAGCATAGAGAAACTTTCTGAGGATCATAAGGTTCTGAAAAGAGAGATCCTTAATAAATATTTAAAGTTCATAACAGAGGCAAAGGACTTAAGCTGGTCTCCTTAACCTGTTAGCCTCCAGCTATAGTGAGAATATAATTTGACAGTGTTAGAATATTTTATTGGCCAAGTATGACAGCCAAAATTCCTAACCGTCATACCATGCCATGCTGCCTTGGAATTTTGGGAATTGTATAATTGTAGCACAAGAATTCTGGGAACTGTACAATGTTTGGAAAGTAAACATCCTAGTTTATAAAGGTTTGTTAAAATAACATCAAATAAAAAATAAGTTTGCTTGAGAATATGTAGAACTCTGCAAGTCACAGTAAATATAATTAATCGGGATGAAACAAAATTTACCTAATTTAATGAAGCTTTCCCTACTTCTAGGTCCTGAACCAGACATACATGCAGAAATTGCATCTTTTCCTATTCAGTGAGCCCCGGTTATTTCCTCATTCTTGGAAGCAGCTATCATCCTTTCTTCATGCAGATCAAACCATGATGGCTGCAATACATCTGAAGTTTGTCTTGAGCTTTGAAAATGTGAACATAAAATGCCCACTCATAAGCATCTTAAAACCATCACGGTCATATCTGCTCGCAAAAAATGTTAAATTACTTGGACAAAGTATTGTTTCCTCCTAACTGCTAAGTAAACATTTTTTGGAATTCTGAATTTTGATTAAGATGTTAGATTAAAACTAAAAAAAAAAACAAAAAACTGGATTCAAATCTACCCCCAGTCATGGACACTTCCTGGATGATTTTGGACCATCCACTCAAAGTCACCCAAGAAGTGTCCGTGACTAAGGGTAGATGACTTTAACCCTTTCTTATCTGCTAAATTGTGGCTGCTATTTTAATTGGAATTAATCATCCCACTAATCCCAATGGAAACTTCCTTTCCAGTACAAATGACAGATGTAGGACCATTTATGAGCAGGAATAATAGAGGTTGCCTACATTTAAAGCCCCTTCTCTCACAATACACAATCACAACCATAATAACACAAGGGCTATCAATAGATTCAACTCAATGTAATTCGTTCTAATCTTGATTATAGGAAATATGACTTCTGCAATAGAGTAGTAAATGTCTGGAACACTCTACCTGATCCTGTTGTTAGTCTCGTTAATCCCCATACCTTTTACCTTAAACTGTGTACTGTGGACCTTTCATGTTTCTTAAGAGGTCCCTAAGGGGTCGTGCATAAGGATACCAGAGTGCCTAACATCCCGGTCCTACTGTCCCCATTTATATGTAATCATTCTATGTGTTTATGGCTATGTTTTCCCTATTTATATCCTTTTATTTGTGCCAATTTTTTTCATGTGTCCATATCTATGTCTATACTGTTACTTGTTTCCTTGTACTTGTTGACAAATAAATAATAATAATACAGGTCTTGAAAAAGAGGAAACAGAATACTACCTAATTTGGGAGAGATGGTATAAATGGTTGGAGGAAAAGGGAAAAAAGGACAAGGGAAGACTAAATAACGGTTGAATTAGGAAGAGAAATATAGGAACAAATGGGAAGAAATAAAAATTGTGGAAAGGAAATTGGGTACATGTTTATGTCAAATGTAAATAAAACAATTAAAATAATTATAATGATATATATATATATGATATATTAGAAATATATGCATAAAAGATATATTAAGAAAGAGAGAGAAAATGTATAAG